GTCTTGCTCTAATTTATTTTTTAAAGAAAAAAATTGCTAAAATTAGCTTAGTGGAATATTTAGTTTCAAAGTAGTGTTCAGGACATCTCAAAATTCTTATTTCTGTTGTAGAATTTATCTGCCATGTTGAATATGTGGAACTTTCCCCCCATCTCAGTTATTTGTTAAACATAGACTGTAAAATACGTACCATGTGCAATGTGTCCAAGTAAGCACTGCTGTAGGCTTGCTTTGGAATTTCCTGACTCCTAAAAGCTTGATCTTTTAACTACACTATAGTTTCTGAACCAGAAAGTTTAGTATTTCAGAAGAAAATATTAACTTTCCTCATGACTTAAGGGTTTTAATTTGTCACTCTTCTCTGTTGAAATAACGACTTTCTAAATTATATATACTTTTTACATCATATAACTAGTTTTTGCTATTTAAGAAAATAAGAACTGGTCCAATTGCTCTTTCATTCACTTTCCCTCATTCTCAGCAATCCTGCTGTTTGAGCAGAAGGGCAGGCTTGTTAGCTGAAAGCCTTGGGAAGTGAAATTTCAAATTCTTATGCTCTTTTCACTTGTTCCATGATACAGTTTGTCTCTGTGTCACTTAAGATTTATGTAGTCCAGTGGTTTAAGAGAAAGATGGGCTCCATATATGGACTGTAAAAGTAAAAATAATATCTCTATACCACGAGCAGCAGACCAAGGTCTGTTTGTTTTTCAGTCTGCTGAGTAGGTCTCAACACCTGTTTTCTCACAGTTGAAATGATACAGTGTGCAGATTTCAGTTCTTGTTATATGAGCACCATGAAAATTCTATGGGTTATAACACTCAATTTATCTCTTTCCTGATCCTCTGGAATGCCTCTGTTGCCATTTTAGTAAAGGCAGTGTATTTGAACCTTGCCACCAAATTCCAGACCACTCTTGGTCTTTCCATTTACATTCTTCCTTTATTTTTCCTTAATACATTATTATATTCTATTGCAATAGTGTTTCTAGCTCCTATTCTTACATGAGAATGTTCTATTCCTTGTGGAATGAAAACTTAGGTGTTAGAGCATAAAACAATCCTTCTTTTGACTCATATGCAAATTTAGGAATTAAATGCTTGGTTGCTTACTGGAATTGTTATCAGGTAGAAATACAGGGTTGAGTAACTTGAAAGGACATCATTAATATCACCTATTCAAATAAGTTATAAATTCCAGTGTTCCAAGCACCGTTTTAAAAATAAATGGAATTCCACTTTTCTTTCAGTTTCCTATCTGTTGTTTTGAACTTCATCTTCATCCTTAAAATGAATCTTAGGAGATGAGCAAGGCTTCTATTGTAGGCCCCCAAGTTCTATAGGATTTTCTTGCTTAATATTTAGCCTTAGACTTCACTAAATATCCTGCAGAGGGGATTTACATCATTTCTTCTCCCTCTGGCTTCAGTCTGATTGGTTGGAACCAAGCCTACATGTGATAAGTTGTACCCTTGGGACTCTCAGGAAGTGTTCATAACCTTTCTTGGGGTAATTTTAAGGAACATTCTAAAAGAATTTTTGCTCCTCAGCCATGTTGCACAATAGAACTTTCTGAGATGGTGGAACTATTTTATAATCTTTGCTGTTCAATACAGTAGCTACTAGCT